CCCCTAAGCAGAGGTGCAGCACTTGAGCCAAAATGGCTACGGTCTCTCTCTCTCTCTCTCTCTCTCTCTCTCTCTCTCTCTCTCTCTCTCTTCTTCCACACAGTCAAGAGCAGGCAGGAACCCCTACCCACTCCGCGCGCGTGCGCGCCCTGTCCACCGTTGTCTCAGGTAAAACTGCTTTTTAGGATGAGGCCCCCTTGTCTGCAACTGTTGCACCCCCAACCCTGTACTTTAAGTAAAACCCTCAGGCCTCATCCTGAGCCGCATGCCGGCTCCGGCTTGATGAGCTCGCTCTGTATTTCAAGCTCACTTTCTCTCTCTCTCTCTCTCTCTCTCTCTCTGCATCGCTTACTTTCACTCTGTCTTTGGACGTCCTGCTCCCAAGACATTTTCAGTTGTGTGACCTGTTCATTTGCAGCAAGAGGTTCGGGTTCTCTCGGTATTTCAAACACCAGAATCGCATCTACCGAAGCTGCCTGATCTCAAGGAGGTGCACGGCTTGATCAAGCCCGCGCACCCCTTCGTCCCTTCTTCGCTGTTTGCTCAAACAGCGTCTCGAGTCTTTGTTTCGTATAGCCTTTTGAAACTCTCTGCGTGCGCGTGCACTCAGCCGGTCAAAGCATCACGGCCTGGACTCGCTTCCTCGCTGGCAACGCAGGGCCTCAAACTCCAAAGTCGCATGAAAACGACACGGCCCTTGACGCTTTCCTTGGGCTCGAGCTTTGTCTTCTTATGGCGCAACATCCAGGAGAAGAGGTCAGAGGTTTTGTACGCAGGTGTCCAGATCTGATGGCCGAGAGCCTGCAACATCACAACTTGCTGCGATTCGTAAGGGTTTGTGGGATTCAGCCAAGCTTTGGATGCACCAAAGCATGTGGGTCTCATCCCACTCGCATCAGACCACGCTGTTGCAGTCGTCAGCATCGTACATCTCTGACGACTCGCAAACTGCAGCGGAACTACGGCAGCTCGGCGCCTCATACTTTGTGAGCCTCAAATTCGCTCGGCCGCGGCCCTGCGAAGCCAAGAGAGATGGAGCTCTGCCCGTGCTTGCAGGTGCTGTCACCGTCTCACTGGCCTTGCCGCCCAATGCTTGGTACAGCAGCAGGGATCCATCTGGGTCCACCGTTCGATCCTGCATCGCTCGGAAAATTTGAAGCCTGGGTGGCATTTCTGGGGCGCAGCGGTCTGCGGTCTGCGCCTTCATGCCGTGGAAGAGCCAAATCGGCAGCTCTCCTCGGCAGCGTGCAGGGTGCCGCACGGTGCCAGTCTGCGGCACATCGCTCATCATCGCTCCATTCTGGCAAGGAACTGATGTCGCTTAGATCCTCCTCCTTTGGCACGACTTTGGCCAATTGCAACATCGAGTTCAGGCTTGTATCGAGCCTGTAGGAGGCAAGCTTGAAAATTCTCGTCAATGCGCACAAGAGAGTTCAAGAGAATCTTGGCTCTGGGCGGCAACGGCTTGGTGAAGCCACCACACACACCGATCCTTGACGAAACTTGCAGGAGGTGCACAGCGTGGTGGCAGCGGTTGAGAATGCAGCTCTAGTTTACATGTTGACGGTTGACATGCTTGCTGGAACGCCTGATGTGAAACAATGGCACTGAAAATGCCCCTGCGCTTCTAGATGAGAAGCCAATGCTCTCGGTTTACTGCATGGCAGGCGAGAAGACACTAGGACTCCAGCTGCCTTTTCTCTGCTCGTAGGAATCGTTACATCATACGTGCTTTGGCGGTATCCGGAGAAGCGAGCCGCGAATGCATTACTTCCAGCGACATTGGTGCAGGCAGAATATCGACATGCATTCTCCAAAACCTCTCTGGAAGCCTGCGCAGGGCAGAAACATTCCCCAAAACCTCGGCTTCCTTCCGGCTAGATCGAAACGCCAAAGTCTGAAACCAGGGTGAAACAGATCAAGAAAACGAAGGCTCGCCACTACAGACGAAATCGACCAGCCTTATGCCTTACTGACAGGAAGCCTGTGGCCCTGCTCGCCTGGCTGCAGTCTGTGGTAAGGCCGGCGCAAAGCAGCGAAAAGCCCTGGCGCAGCCGAAGCTGCCGCCAGAGCCCCGAAGGCCCCCATGCTGAGGCCGGTGATGTAGATCCTCTTCACATGGGCACCCCGGCATGCCCTGAATGCTTGGAACTATCATTGCTAGCAGACTACAGTAGCAACTTAAGTCGTCGTCGCGCGCATGTCGCCCTTCCTCCGATTTCCCCGCGCTCGGTGCGGCTACTTCCTCAGACAAGCGACATAAGGAACGCAGGAGCGAGGCGTGGAAAGGCTCTCACGCAGCCGTCCAGCTAGGGGAAGAGAATGTGCGCTGCGAGTGGGAGAGCGTCTTGATCGAGAACTATGTGATATACCCGCGCAAAGCTGCAAAGCTATTGCTACAGGCGCCCGCCGGCAATTGTTGAAGATCGGCAAAGCGAGCCAGGATTTGGAAGGGTTAATGCCAACGCTGTGATAGTGACCGATATGGACAGCAGCGATTTGTAAGATGCTGCAGCGTGTTCAATACGTTACGGGTTCGTTCGTAGGCAAATTCTGGGGCTTCTTCTGCTCCGGAACGTCAAGCAGGACTGTGATCTGCATCTCTTGATTCGCCGGACCAGGATATTTTTGGTTTGCAGTTACCTTCATCATGCTTTCTCAAGAACAGCTCTGCATTCATTTGTTTGGCGAACCGTCTTAGCGTACCACTGTTGCCGTCCCGCCTGTTCGGATCCAGCGAGAACTCGTCACGCACCTGCTGGGATGGGCAGCAAGCTAGTTGACTAAAAGCCGTGCTACATCAAACATCGAAGGTCTATTCTCCGAGCCAGCTGTTCTTTGCTTCTTTGCTACTAGTACAGCGTGCCGGGAATTTAGAACAAGTGTTTGAGCAAGATTGCACGCAATCTTGCAATCTTGGTCTCCGACTAGCTTACCTTTTAGACCAAGGTTGCAACCGAGATTGCCAAGCAATCTTGCAATCTTGGTCTCCAAAACGTAAACTAGTCGGTGAGCAAGCGGGGCAAGTGGGGCAAGCAAGATTGCCAAGCAATCTTGCTATGTTGGTGTGCGAGCAAGTTGAACAGGGGCAAAATGACAAAGATTGCCAAGATTGCTTGGCAATCTTGCTCCTCCCCGCCTGACCAACAAGAGTGCCAAGACGGCTCCGCAACAGGATTGCTGCAAACTCCCGGCACAATGTATACCAGTAACATCTAGAATGCAAGGGCGGAGAGAGGCGTTCGCGCCTGCTTTGTGAGCGCGACGATGCGGTCGGCTAGGGCGGGCCACACAAAGGCCTCGGAGGCACAGAGCGGATCGGAGACGGTCTGTCGGGCTCCGCCTGGCTCCGCCTCTGGGCACTGTGGAGCCACGAGGAAGAGCCGCTTCACGGCAGCCAGCGTCCATGGACCGTTGCTGCGCACCTTTTGTGTAAGGCTCTCAGGAGATCTCAGCCGAAGTGCGCGCCCTCTGAGGTTGAAATTGCTTTTGGTGGAGCACCTTGCCCAAGTCTCGTCCGTCTTCGTGGCCACCTCTGCTAAGCAACTGCGCATCTTGCTGCGGAACTCTGGCTTCGCAATCTATCCCGAAGAGACTGCGCACTCTGTGTCTGTGCCCCGACTGCGCTTCACTTCGTGGTCAAGAAGCGCTCTCCCGCACCGTGAAGGAAAACAAGCAGCGGCCAGGGCTGGCGAACGGAGTCGTCCGGAGTCTTCGCCAGGTACCTGATCGTCAGCCGCATGCCAGCAACTGCCGGAGCTGTGCCTGCTGAGCACGGGGCTGGAGGCCAGCAGCCGAACCCCTGCGCTCTGCAGCTGTACGGCCAGGGGCCCCCCAAGGCATGGCACGGGAGGCAGAGCCAGAGGAAGCTCCCAATGTCTTAAACAACTTCAGACTGGCTCCTTGTATATGAGTGATCATCTTGCTAGAGTGATGGGACGCGCTTCTTGCGTCGTGGCTGCAAGACTCTCAGATAGTCGTGATCTTGCATCGGCAGGCTTGAGCAGGGTGCGGTAAGATACCTAGGCACAACCAAGGCCAAAGCGTGGTGCCTGGAAGCCTACTATAGTCACTACAGTCCCGGTTTGTGGAGAGAGTGTTGCATCCTGGGGTGAGACACCTCAGGCTTATGACGACTGATTGCGTGATTGCTGTGCCACTGTGTTGTTTCCGCTGTTGACTTAACTAATTGTGCGCTTCACGGACTTTGTCTAGTGACTCATTGCGCGAGCAAGTACAAGTAGGTGGGTGTGTGAGTGGGTGAGTGAGGGAGAGTCATTGCAGGGTAAATGAAGATGGATCTAGACTCTCAGTTCTCAGCAGCCACGAATGGGCACGCGTGCGTCCTGATCCGCCACAGTGCTCAGAAAAAAATCGAGGCAAAACCCAACCTGCTGAAGCTAGTGATGCTCAGTTGGTTGCTTGCTGAGACGCGCAGCTCAATCCAACCTCACCCGAACCAACCTGAACCCACAGCGCAGCAACCGCGGCGCACGTTGGAAGAAATGCCACCTGCGACTTCCCCTCTGTCTCTGGGTATGCTGTATCCGTCGCACAGTCACAGTGCCCTCCTACACTCGAGCTCAAGAATGAATCCCGCCTCTGCTTCCTGAAAGCCGGCGAATGCCGGGCATCCATCGCGGAGGCGCTGGCGCAGCTGACAGCGTTCCTGTAGCAATTGCCAACGAGCTGCGCAAACCGAATCCGAAAGCTTTCGTCGCCCTGCCTCTCCCTGCGGGTCTCATTTGGAGCTACGTTGAGAGAGGCGCGTACTGGTTTCAGGTAGCATCTGATGTCTGTGTGCCATATCAAGGAAGGAAGCTGTTGTTGGTTCCAATCAGAGCCATTAAATGACAATGCGAACATCGTCAGCATCATTGGGTGCCCAATCAGAACCTATGAGGGACCGCATCAGCATCATTGGGGAAGGTACCGTTGTTGTTCATGATTTGGATGTTGTAAGTCTGAGCCGGTGAACGAGCATCGTGTGCAACATTGGGGGCCCAAGCGGAGAAGCTAGGCGACCATCATGGGTATTGTTGGTTCCAATCAAAGCCATCAAATAACAAAGCGGACATCGTCAGCATCATTGGGTGCCCAATCGGCACCTATGAGCGAGCGCATGAACGTCATGGGAGGAGGTACCGTTGTTAATGCTTTCGATGTTGCAAGTCTGAGCCGGTAAACAAGCACCGGGGGCCCACACGGAGACACTAAGCGCATCATGAGCATCACTGGGGTCCCAATCGGAGCCGGCAGGCGAGCATCATGAGCATCATTGCAGGCTCGTGTCTGCCGCAAGCAACCAGGAAATCCCGCCAGGGGGGTGGGGAAGAGCTCCAAAAACTCGACCTGACTTTTGTCCAAATTTGAGGGGTCCATTCCCCAAACACCCTAAGCCTTGTGGCAGCACGAGTTCTGGATCTAATAGTCAGGGAAGACCTTGCCCAGTTTGGGTAGTTCCCTCAACCAAATAGTAACAATTATATGTTAAAATACATTTCCTTATCCTATTTATCAGGTGATGTAACTCTCAAACTGGGCAAAGCCCTCCTTGTTCAGTTTATGTAGAATAGTATGGGGTATGGGGTTTCAACAATAATTTATTTTTATTATTAAATTATCATTGGTAGACTATTACAGAGAATTATGGACAATCATTTGATTTAAGAACTCTGATGTTTCTTCTACATAATCATAATGTAATTTGCTTTCTCTGTGCAACTTATATATTATCGTAACGAAAATATGATTTACTCTTTGATAGTAATCAAAGTAACCACATAAAGTATCTTCAAAATAATTCTTTTTTCTTGATGCCATTTATAGAAGTCAAATTTATTTATGTTCTCATAAATTGTTTTCATTTCAAGGTGTAGCTCTAGCGTATAATCTTTCCTTTGAACATCGTTTTTCATTATTTCATGAACTTCATCATATTCTGGG